AACAGAATTGAAGAACAATAGATCTGAAGGTATTCAAAATGACACAGAGAAAAAGAGGTTAAGAGATAAGAAGGCTAGAATCAGAAGCTCTAACAAACATGTAATTGGAGTTCCAGAAAAGAGAGACAGTAGGGTAGAAGTAAATATTTGAAGAGAAAATAGCTTAAACTTTTCAAGACTAGTGAAAAAGATACCAAGACACAAATTTTAAGATTTTCCAAAAATAACCAAGCAGGATAAATAAAAAGAAATTCACACTTAGAGACGTCACAGAGAAACTGCAGAACATCAAATAGAAAGGGAAAATCTTAGAAGCAGCCAAAGAGGAAAGACAGGGTACCTTCAAAGAAGCAACAGAGTGAGAATCATCTGACTTCTCAACGGCAACAATGGAAGCCATAAGACAGTATGCTGAAGGAAAATAACTGTTGGTCTAGAAAAACTACACTTTGGAAATGAGGGTGAAAAAAAAGACACTTTCAGACAAATAAGAATTAAAATAGTTTGCTCACTAAACGAAATTCTACAGAATATACTTCAAGCAGAAGGAAAGCGATCTCAGACGGAAAGATTGAGAAGATGCAAGAAGGAATAAAGAATAAAGAAAGTACATAACTAGGACAAAGTTACAGTCATGCATTGCATAACAACGTTCCAGTCAATGACTAACAGCGTATACAACAGTAGTCCCATTAGATTAGTACCACATAGCTTGGGTAGGTAGCAGGCTACACCATCTAGGTTTGTGTAAATACACTCTACGACGTTTGCATGATGAAATCGTCTAACAGCGCGTTTCTCAGTGCACTCGTCGTTACTCTGTATTCATATATCTGTCTACGTTACATCTCCACTAGGACGTATATTGGACAAGTCAAACTCAGCATATCCAAACTGAATTCCTGATCTTCCCCCCAGAACTCCACCCTTCAAGTTGCTCAGGTCAAATACTTTCTTTCATACTCCACATCAGGAAGTTCTATGAGCTCTACTTGCTTAGGTAGTCTGAATACAACCAGTGCCTAGTATCTTCACAAGCCACAGTTCCCTCTCAGCTAAATAGCTGCAAAAGCCTTTTAATTGGTTTTCCTGTTCTACCCCTGCCCCTCCTCCCAGAGTCTACAAGTACAACTGCCTCCCTGAGTAACCCTTTAGCTGCTCTGCTCAACTCTACAATGAATCTCCATTTCCTTCAGAGGAAGCCAAAGTCTTACAATGGCCTATAAGGCCCTATGGGGTCAGTTCCCCATTTTCTCTCCGAACTCATCTCCTACTACTCTCCCCTTCCCTTCCTGAGCTCCAGCCACTCTGGCCTCCTCGCTAGTCCTTAAAAACGCCATGTGCTTTCCCACCTTTTCACTGGCTGCATTCTGCGGGGAATGCTCCTGCCCTGGATATCCCACACGGCTCTCTCTCCACCTTAAAGTCTTTATTCCAGTTTTACTTTCTCAAGGAGGCCTATGTATACCAAGCAGCTAAAACCGCACCTGGCCTATAGAGGGAACTTACAAATATTTGTGGAATTATTTGTGAATAAATGAACGATGTGGGCAAAGTCAAACACTGTCTGAAACAATTATAAAAATGCCTTATAGGGTTTATTTTTTAAAGAGAGAACTAGAATACATGAAATCTAAACCCAAGAGACCTAACATACATGACATTAATGGCATACAAGTCAAGAGGGATGTAATTGGAGCTAACATGAGATAAAGTTCTGGCTGTGTGGAGAAGGTAAAGATATCGATTAATTTTAAATTATTATAAGTTAAAACTGAATGTTAAAGTTTTTTGAGAGCCAGACATAAAGGAGTGCACACTGTATGAATCCATCTACATAAAATAAAGAAACAAGCAAAACTAACCTAGAGTGACAGAGGTCAGGACAGCGGCTAACTCTGGGGATCGGAGGTTCATGACTAGAAAAGAGCATGAGGGGGGCTTCTGGGGTGCTGTGTGTGGGTTACAGGGCTGTGTTCACTTCACATAAATTCACTGAGCTGTACACTTACGCGTTGTGCTTTCTGGAAGGCATATATTTTAATAGGTAATCACTAAAGGAGTGAAAACATAGTGAATAACTTCCAAACTAGCAGGAGGGTGGAGGATGAAATAAGGAAAAAAAAACTCAAACAATTCAAAAGAAAGTAATAAAGGGAAGACAAAACAGAAAAAGTGGACAAATAGATTATTATAAAATAAAATAGTTGACAGGAAACAACAAGTGTTGGAGAGGATGTGGGGAGAAGGGAACCCTCGTACACTGCTGGTGGGAGTGCAAACTGGCGCAGCCACTATGGAAAGCAGTACAGAGATTTCTCAGAAAATTAAGAATAGATCTACCATATGATCCAGCTATCCCACTGCTGGATATTTATCCAAAGAACTTGAAAACACAAATGCATAAAGATACATGCACCCCTATGTTCATGGCAGCATTCTTCACAATAGCCAAGACTTGGAAGCAACCTAGGTACCCATCAAGGGACGAATGGATAAAGAAGATGTGGTATTTATACACAATGGAATACTACTCAGCCATAAGAAATGATGAAATCCGGCCATTTGTGACAACATGGATGGACCTGGAGGGTATTATGCTGAGTGAAATAAGTCAGAGGGAGAAAGTCAAATACCATATGATCTCACGCATAAGTAGAAGATAAAAACAACGACAAACAAACACATAGCAACAGAGATTGGACTGGTGGTTGCCAGAGGGGAAGGGGGAGGGAGAAGGGTGAAAGGGGTGATTAGGCTCATGTGTGGTGATAGATTATAATTAGTCTTTGGGTGGTAAACATGACATAATCTACACAGAATTTGAAACATATTATGATGTACATCTGAAAGTTATATAATGTTATAATCCAATGTTACTGCTATAAAAACAAAAATTAAAATTAAAAAGTAAATAAAATGGAAAAAAATTAAAAAATAATAAAATAGTTTAATCAATGTCTATCAAGAATTATAACGAATGAAAATGAAAAAAAGCACCAATTAAAAGACAAAAAAGTTTAAACTAGATATTTAAAAAATCCAGAGGGGCTGGCCTGGTGGCGAGGTGGTTAAATGCACACATTCTGCTTTGGTGGCTCGGGGTTCGCTGGTTCAGATCCCAGGTGCGGGCATGGCACTGCATGACAAGCCATGCTGTGGCAGGCGTCCCACATATAAAGTAGAGGAAGATGGGCACGGATGTTAGCTCAGGGCCAGCTTTCCTCAGCAAAAAGAGGAGGATTGGCGGCAGATGTTAGCTCACGGATAATCCTCCTCCTCAAAAAAAAAATCCAGCTGTATCCTGTTTATAAGTGACACATTAAAAAAAAAAGGATATAAAAAGGTTGAAATTAAAGCATTGTGAAAGATATAACAGGTAAATACTAAGCAAAAGAAGGCAGGTAAGCTATATTAGTATCAGACAAAGACTTTAAGGCAAAAAGCATTATTCGAAACGGAGGGTTACCACATAATGATACTAAAGTATTTAATTCTCAACTTGCATACCTAATGACATGGCCTCAAAAACTGACACAAGCACAAGGAAAAGTACATAAACACAACTCTCAGTAAATAATAGAATAAACTGACAAAAAAATTAGAAAGGATATCAAAGATATCAACAACACCATTACTAAGGTTAATCTAATGAACACATATAGGTTATATCCAACAATTATAAAACATACAGACTTTTCAAGAATACACGGAATATTCGTTCATATTGGTATATGCCGGGCTCTAAGACTAGGTTCAACACATTTCAAGAGATTGGTATCATACAGACCACATTCTCTAACCAGAAGGCAAACATGTTAGAAACCAAAAAACTGCAAAAATACTTATGTTTAATAACTGAAAAACCCACTTTTGAACATTTCAAGGGTCAAAGAGAAACCAAAATAGGCATGTTTAGAAGCAAATATAATAAATATATTACATATCAAAACTTACGAGATGGGGTGACAGCAGTACTTGAAGGAAATGTATGACCTTGAATATTTATATTAGAAAAGAAGAAAGGCTGGATTAAAAAGCTAAGCTTCAAATAAAGGAAAGAAATAATAAAGAGAGGAACAAAAAGCTTTGAAACAGAACAAATGTACAAGAGAGAGCTTGCGAGTCCTCACCATAAATTCTGCAGACATTAAACCCATAATAAAAAAAACCATGAGCAACATTTTAACCGTACACCTGAAAATTTAGATGAAATGGACAAATTCTAAGAGTAGTTAAGTATAGATCGTATTTTTCAATATGTTGAAAATGTTTCAAAACATAAACTTTAACAGTTAGGCTTAATTTTAACACTTAGGCTTAAATTGAGACTTCGGCATACTTAAAACAAAAAATGTCCATACCATTTATAGGCAGAAAACCTTTGTTTTTTAACTTCAAAACTCAGGTGACTGAGCAGAAAAACTGTGGGTTTTTTTTTTAAACCCACAGCAGAGACAGGAAACCCCACCTGGGTGCTTTAGATGCCTCACAAGGTCACAACGTTAGCAGGACTAAGCAGTTCAGGTGTCAGGACAGGAGGAAACGGCAATCACTCGCCCCAAATAGAAAAATGAGCATTGCTGACAGCTCACATTTGCACAGTGGTGCTTCACAGGCCCACGGATTTTCTCTCCTACAAACTTCAGCTATTTATGTGGGGACACATTTTCTTACTTTTAGTATGAATAATAGTAGTGGCTACCTCCTATTGGACAACATACGTATCAGGACTGTACTGGATGCTGTACACGCATTCTTTTTAATCCTTACAGCACAACCAGGTGCTGTCCTCTCTGTTTCACAAATGAATAGACCAGTGGAGTGTCTTGCTACAGGCTCATTCTTAATCAGGTAGGCTCAAGGCCAAGTCTATCTCATGCCTCCCTTCATCAGTCCTTTTAACCCCAAAGGCTCCAGGAAGTCATCTATAGAGCACAATGAACCCAAGGCAGGCTCTGTTCAAGACCAGCCCACCATAGCCCAGACAAAGCACTCACCTTCTTAATAACGTCTCGCAGAGCAAAATACTTCTCAGTAAGGTCCCCTGCCTCGCTCAGCGGGGCGTCATAGTCATAGCTGGTGGGCTGTGGTTGGTAGGGCAAGTTGGCCCCTAGAAGACAAAAATATGCCACTAGTTACTCCTGAAGGCCCTCCTGTGGGACAAGTTCTTTGGGATTCACGGCTTGGCATTGCAGAGGGAGAAAATAAAGGACACATTAGAACCAGTTGTTAAGCGACACAGAGCTGGCCCTCAGGACGCAAGGTTTAGAGAAGTGAGTTTCTTCCTACAGGTGGCCCTGGCCAAAGCACCTTTCAGTCTACAAAGCACCTTCCCCATCCACTCTCTCAGTGGAAGCTCACAGCTGCAACCCTGCTGGACAAGCAGGGGATCTGAAGCTTCCCACAAAATCTGCTCAAAATCTCACAACCAGTAATGGCAGGACTTATGGCATGACCCACATCTCCAGGGTTGCAGATCAACCCTGCAAGTCTGCGGTCTTTTTTCATGACCTCGACCTGTGTGGTTGAGAAAAGGTCAGTAGTGGAGACACAGGTAAGTGGGCCAAGGATCAGCAGAAAACAAGTGAGGGGTTATCACACCAGACCAAGTGGGAGATGACTGCAGACACATATTCGCCCACAGAGATTCAAATGTAACCCTAAGGCCTCTGTAATGTCTGCAAAGAGTTGGCGGGTGCTGTGGTGTGCCTCTTACATCCCCCTTCAGGACCAAGGCCCTAGCTCATCCCTCCAGCTGCCAGGAGTGATGGCTGCTGACGGCTCTCAGATGTGTCCTTCTGGTCACTGACCTCTGCCGGAATGTCTTGCCCAAGGTTATGACCCTCTCGGGATAGCCCAGATCAAACGATTGACCAACGTGGGGATAAAAAAACCTGGTGCTCTTGCCTCAAAGGGTCATGAATCCCAGCTCCAAACTCCTCTAGGATCAGCTGAGCCACTTTTGAAACTGCATCACAGGCCAACTTCTCCCTCTGCCTAATCCTGCCACCCACACTCTCTCACAAGTGTAGCTCCTGGGAGCACACCCCAATATACTTCCTGTTGAGTAATCTCAGAGTCTGTTTCCATGGGAACGTGACCTACAACAGAGACCAATAAATAATACCAATACTGTGTATACAAAAAAACTAGGAAAGCAAATGGCCTTTCAGTTATTGTCCAAAGGACATAGTTAGACCAGAGGTCCCCCAACCTTGCCACAGATGATATTCACAGGTAGGAGACTGTGTGCAATACTGGGCGGTGACCCTATGCCAGTACCTAGCAAACTTCCTCATGCATGAGAGCCAAATGGAGAGCTTGTCAAAACAGATTCCTAAGCCCCAGCCGAGACTCTGATTCAGCAGGTCTGGGGTGCAACCTGAGACTGTGCGTTTCTAACAACCTCCCAGGTGATGCTGATGCTGCTGTCTGCGGACCAGCAAGGCTCTGTGCCACCCCTTTCTCTTGTACTCCAGAGAGCATTTTGCAATGCAAGTGTGTGAAAATAAGTTATTTTAGGATAATCTTATATCCAACCTAATTTCTAAGTAAATGAGGCATAAAATCTGATAGTTCACCTATGATTTAGTAACAAATTCCTTCAATTGATCCCACAGCTCACAAATGATGGAGCCACCATGGGTGATCCTACTGGTAGTGGAGTTGACAGATGAGTGAGGCTGAGAATCAGGTCATCCCCCAAAGGCTCTGCTTCATTATTTTCCTGTAGAAAATCTACAATTTGAAAGACCTGGACCACTCAACCAAGTGAACTGATCCACTGATACTTCCATTCCTCCATTTCTTCTTAATCAGAGACAGCAGCCTGCCAACAGGTCCATCTGCCTCTGTGGATACATACGTTAAAACACATCCTTTGCTGTGAGATGCACAGAAAAATAAAACCACATCCCTTGCTCCAAGGAGCTCAGCTTCTCCTTTGTGGTCCCTCCCCTGGCTCTAATGTGGCAGTGACTTTGCTGCTGTGTTTCTCATTTACGTCTTGCTCCACACTAGATTGCCTGCACCCTAGAGTAGGCGTGGCTTCATTTACCCAAGCGCCCTGCCCCCTCCAGAGCCAGGTATGAAGGGGGAGCTCAATAAGTGGTTGTTGAGTTGAGTTGAACAGGTGTGACTTGTAGAAACAAACTTTACAGGCCAAGGGAACCCAGGTTGGGAAGCTGACCAGTGGGTGCAAGGACAGCCTGGAAAACTAAGTCTTTGCTCTAGTTGTAGCAGAGAATCTTTCTCTGGATGTTTTCAGACCACCGTAGGGCTGTGTCACAGAGCAACAGTGCTAACTCAAGCGTCCTCTTAGGAGGAAGTTAGGAGTTAGGGAGTGTGAGGCAGCAAGGCAAAAGAAATGGCAAGACCTACCACTCCTCAACTCTCCACATTGTGTCAGAAGTATCGGGCAGCCTGGATCCCATAGGAGGCCCTCACGCAGATGGGGACACACACAGGCTCAGAGTGTGGTACGCATACCTGCACAGCTTTTTCTCTCACTGCTCTTCTCTGGGAAGCTGGTCTGAACAACAGCTGCTAAGAAGCACAGACTGGCCCTCCCTCACTTTTCCAAAGAGACCAGGCAAGAGGGCAGGTTGGAGAGGCCTGCAAACACAAGAGGGGCTGGCGCAGGGTCTTCAGATGGCCAGGAGTTATCCAAAGGGCAGTGACCGGCTTTCCAAGGACTGAGTTTGAGTCCAGGCTCCCCTCCCTGCCAGCCGCCAGTTTTTTGACAAGAATGTATTGTTTTAAGTAAAATAATACAATATGAAAAAAATGTATCATGAACTGTAAGTTCCAAAAAATATCAGTCTTTATTCCTGGCTTGGATGATTAGTCTCAATTCCCTGAGTGGCATTCTTATCCACTGAATGAAAATACATCACAAAGTCTTAATTGTTTCTAATGAGAAGAGAGACTCACAGAGATGATCTAAAACTTCAATTACCAACCTTGGCAAGCTATGATCTTTTAAGAAGTGACGTGCGAGTTTTGCAATACTGCCATTTCTTGGCTCTAATAATAGTAATAAGAAAAATAATACTTGTAAACTAAGTCTTCTCCTCGCCCATCCCACGCTGCACAAAAGAGAGCAGTTCAAAGGAGAAACTTTATTGAGAGTTGATGGTATCCAGTTACAGATCCTAGGGGATAGAAACCCAAAGGAAGCCTTCAAAATGCAACAGTAGGACATCGTCAGTGATTCAGAGAGAAAAGTGCAGATGCGGAAAGAGGTGGGGAAGGAGGCTTAGAGAACAGTTAATGAAGGAATGTAAAATGGTGCAGCCACTTTGGAAAACACTATGGCAGTTCCTCAAACTCTAAACACAAGATTTAGTTACCATATGACCCAGCAATCCCACTCCTAGGTATATACCCAAAAGAACTGAAACAGGGATTCAAACAAATACTTATATATCAATGTTCATAGTGGCATTATTCATAATGGCCCAAAAGTGGAAACAACCCAAATGTCCACCAATTGATGAATGAATAAACAAAATGTTGTATATCTATATGATAGAATATTATTCAGCAATAAAAACAAATGAAGTACTGATACACACTAGAATATGGATGAACCTTGAAAAGATTCTGCCAAATGAAAGAAGTCAAATACAAAAGACCATACACTGTATCGTTCTATTTATATGAAATGTCCAGAACAGGCAAATCCATAAAGATGGCGAGTAGACTAGTGGTTGCCAATGGGTGGGAGGAGGGACAGTGGGGACTTTCTTGGGTATGGGGTTTCTTTTTGGAATAACGAAAATGTTCTGGAATTAGATGGTGTTAACAGTTGCACAATTTTGTAATATACTAAATACTATACTGAATTGTACATTCTAAAATTATTAATTTTATGATATGTGAATTATATCTCAACAAAACAAAATGTTAGAAAAGAAAAAAAAAGACCACAGCAGAATATATGAACAAGTAATCTATAGCCAGATACTATGAGTGAGACTCGCCCAGCTGGCTTATTTCAAAACAATAAGGTTTCCAAATGCACAAGTTATATCCCTTAAAAAATTTTTTTAAGGAAAAATGACTTTTTAAATTATGTAAAAATTTTCCTAAAAATTTCTAAAAAATGTTCGAATTTTTTGGGAAATTTAGGAGAGGACCAACAAAAATGGAAATAAAAATTGTAAGCACACCCTCTCAAAATCAAGCACCAGAAACAATCTAGCATAAGCTTCTACAAACAGATGTTAAATTGTTCTTACCATTCCAATAGGCAAAATTGGTCCCACCTATAAACATGTACCTACAAGGAAACAAGAGAACAGACAGTACTTGACTGTGAGCCCACAGTTGTGGAGGGCGCCCTCCCCTCCAGAAATTAACACTCACATGTTCACATTCGCCCCACTAGCAAGTATATCATAGAGGGTAGAAGCCACCACATCAGTCTTGGCTTTTGAGTGTCGTTGGCCCCAATGGTCTAACCAGCCAGTATAGAATTCAGAATTGATCTAAAAAGAGAAGAGGACATGGAGCTTAGGGTAGATCTACGACCTTCCAATGCTGTGCCTTCCCTGTAACGATGGCCCTAGTACTCTGCCAGGGGATGGCTGGAAAGGGGAGTTGAGATGCAGTGCTTAATCCTGAGCTGGGAGGGCCAGCGAGGAGTTCCAATAATAACACTGTTGAAACTCAGTTTTCAGGCACCAATAATACAAGTATTCCTAAAAAGTTGTACCTGCACCAAAATTTTGTTAACCAATCCCCAGGTTAAGCACAATAGGGAAGTTTGTTGGGCAAAAGAATCAGAGGGCAAAATACTTTTATAAAATAATCAGCTCCGAATTCACTCTTTGTATGAATCCAGGTTTTCAGATCTCAGGTTGACTTAAAGTGAGTAGACTGTTGGTCCGATTATGCCGCAAAGCAGGCCCTGTGCACTTCATGCTTCTGTTGGGCACTTCCCTGCTAAGCCCTTGGTCTCGAGAAGGAAAAAGAAATCTGGACATGTCGTGGGGCCTTCACGTCTCAGGTTCCAGGAAATAGCTCCACCCAAAGTCTGTGAATGCAGGTTCTGCACTGCTCACTAAGCAGAGACCAGATTCAGAAAAGGCTGTTTTGTACAAAGGTTCGTACACAGGCGGGGCAGGTTGACCTCTACAGAGAAGACACAGGACATAACCCCTTAAACTGGGCTGAGTAACAACAACAACTACCACTGCGGAGAAGGGAAGAGTGGAGAACGATGGACCGATGGACTGTATACTCCCACCTGGACCTGCCACCATCTCCGCCTCCTAGCCACCTACACAGCATGCCATAAAGCCCTGCAACTCAAAGTGCGCTCAGCAAACCTACATCCCCAGTGTAACCTGGTTGCTTGTCAGAAATGCAGAATCTGTCCCCATCACAGACCCCACAGATCAAAGTTTGCATTTTAACAAGATTCCCATGTGACCTGTAAGCACATTAAAGGTGGAGAAGCTGTCACAAAGAGATCTCGAGAGACACAGGCATGAACTCAGATGCCGGCCCTGCCTCTCACCAGCTGTACAACCCTGCGCAAGTGACATACGTTCTCCGAGCCTCACTGAAAATGGAGATGGTAACACTGCTTAGCAGAGTTGCCGTGAGGACCAAATGAGATGGAGTGTGCAAGAGCACAGAGCCTGACGCAGGGCAGGACATTCACATTAGTCCCCATTCTGTTCCACTCCAGTGCAGGGCCTCAGTTTCAAACAGGAGCACTGCTTCTGCTGACACCCATGTGTCCAGAGGGCCAGGCCCTATGGTCCCATCAGTTGCCAAGCCCACAGACAGAAAAACCAAGGTTCTCCTCCCACCCTTCTGCAGCAGGTAATCTCTCTCTCCCAACAGCTGTAATGATAGTACAAACACAAAGTCTCTCCACACCACATCCCCAGTTCTTACCAAGGGTCCTCTGGGCTCGCTCTTCCTCTGGATTTGGAAAGCAGCTGTGACATTGATACCTAAAAATTACGAGAGACAGAAAAAAGGTTAGTCATGGGAATGACAAGAAGTTATATAAAAAGAGTCCTGTGTAGGACTTGAGCCTGAGGCCCCTGACCTCCCCCACACCCCATGGGCCTTTCCACCTCCAAACCAACTTTAGGCTGATTCAGACCATCAATTTGACAGATGCGTGTGGACCACAAAACACTGCTTCCTCTCTAAACAGGTCCCCTCGGCCTTTCCGGACTGCATTGCTTTGGGAATTCACTTCACAGGCTTGTTGTCTTCATCTGTGTTTCCCCACGGCCTGGACACATGTCGCGTGTTCTCTCTTCACATGGACATCTGGGCGACCTGGATGCTCCCTTCAGGATGGGTCTGCTTTCAAGATACATCCTTGTAGCCTCCACAGCGCCACAGACACAATAGTGCCATAAATATTTGCCAATTAATTAACAAATCAAAGGGGTGAATGAGTCTAACTGTGTTTTCCCTTGAATAATGGAGTATCCTCTGAATTTTAATTTGTACAACATCAGCCATTCCAGTCCACTTGCTCTCAATTTTTCCTTCTGAATTATTCCACAGGGATGTCTGTGTCTTGTCTTGCTTCCCATGTCTTCTATTCTTCCTTCCTCCTCTAAAAAGAGAAAAAATTTCTCCACAGAGGGGTAATGGGCTGTCTTACATCAGTGAAAGAGTGAGCATGAATAGTGTTTCTCCAACCAAAGCAGATACCCTGATCCCAAACGTCACGGTCTAGTTCCCACAGCAGGTATCTCAGAGGGGAAACAATGCCAGCCCAGACCTCCACAGAACCCGCTGCTCTTGGATTAGCCTCTGGCTTCTCTGGAAGGTCAGCTTTCAGGAAAGAATGGGGTGATCAAGAAAGAGTGGAATCTCAAGGACATTATGGCTGTAATTTTCTCATTATTAAGCGTCAGGTGGCATTCAGATCTTGAAACACTGTTCTCATGAGCCTCTCCTATGATCTGACCCGAGGCAATGCACCTCTGCCACACAAATGAATGAGGCTGCCACAAGCCCCACCTGGCCCAGGTGCACTGGCCTTGCAGTGGTCTGTCCTTCAACCCACAGCAGTAGCAATTGTGCTGTCAACCCCCATGGCCAGACAAATCATGTTCACAATAAACACATAATAATCTTCCATTTGTTCCTCCCAACAGAAAAATACTGTGCTTTTTCATCATCATGATAGGAAGGGTGCCAAAGCAGGAGGAAACCAGCATACCACTTCCTGTGCAGCCCTTTGTAGGTGAGTTATTTCATCACCAAATCCTCTGAGCAACGTCCCATGTTTCTAGAAACACTCAATTCACTTAAAGCCAATTCTTTTATTTTTTGGTAACGTAGAAGAATGTCTTTAAAAATACAACTTCCGTCTTGTACACCCTTCTCAAGAGAAAGCAACTGTTGGACGTGCAATGTGCACGGAGTGTCTTATACTCTAGATGGGGGAAGAGCGGGCTCTTTATGCTATGTCAAGAGTTGGTCTTTTTTGGGGGGAGGGATAAATTTTTATTTTGAAATAATTTCAAACTTATAGAAAAGTTGTGAGAATAGTACAAAAAACTCATATTCCTTTCACTCGGATTTCCCAACTGTTAACATTTTATCAGTTACTTTATCAGTTTGTCTCTACATAAATACACGTGTTTTTTCCTGAGTCATTTGAGAAAAAGTTGCAGACATGATGGCCCTTTACCCCTGAATACTTCAGTGTGCATTCCCCAAGAGAAAGGGCATTCTTTAAATAACCACAATACAATTATTAAAAATCAGGAAATTGGGGCTAGCCCTGTGGCCTAGTGGTTAAGTTCGGCATGCTTCACTTCAGTGGCCCAAGTTCAGTTCCTGGGCGTGGATCTACACCACTCATCGGTGGCCATGCTGTGGTGGCAACCCACATACAAAATAGAGGAAGACTGACACAGATGTTACTCAGGGTGAATCTTCCTCAGCAAAAAACCCCCAAAAAACTCAGGAAATTAACATGAATACAATACTATTACCTAATCTACAGATTTTATTCAAAGATTTCAATTGTCCCAGTAATGTCCTTCATAGCAAAAAAAAAGAGAAAAAGTTCAGACCAGGATCCTTTTCAGGATCACATGCCACATTTAGCTGTCATGTCCTTTATGAAAGCTGCTCTCAACCTGAATGAAGACTCTCCTTTAATGTTTATATAGCCAGAAGCATCCTAGCATGCTGCTTGCCCACCCGGAATTTTCATTTGCGGAACCTCTGCAGCTTACACAGCACTAACAAGTTGGGCAAGACAGGATTTTTGTTTGTTTGTTTTTTTGGTAAGGAAGACTGTCGCTGAGCTAACATCTATTCCAATCTTCCTCTATTTTATGTGGGATGCCACTAAATTGTGGATTGACGAGTGGTGCTAGTTCACACCCAGGATCCAAACCCATGAACCCCGGGCTGCCGAAGGAGAGCACAAGTACTTAACCACTACGTCACTGGGCCAGCCCACAGGCAAGATGACTTTTGCAGCATCTACCAAACCACCTCTGGCCCATCACAGTTCATAGTGTTGGGTTATGCAAAAAGATGGAAGTGTAAGGTCCCTGCACTCCAGAGCTGACAGGCCAACACCACCTAGCCAGTGGCTGACTTCAGAGTTCACTACAGCCACAACATAGCCCCGAGCATCCAGCCACGATACGGGGGACAGGGAGAGCAGAGAAGCACAGCGTCCTAGACAGAGCCTGGAAGGCAAGTGCTCAGGGCAGAGCTTCTCACGGCTGGAACTGCTCCTGTGAGGGCCAGCCCCTAAGAGAAAACCACTCCAGATTCCAGGCTAGCTCCGCAGTGCTGAAAATGGAGCACTTGTCCGAAAGGCCAAAGCAGCCTAAATAAAACAATCTCTGCAATGAAGGGGTGCTTTATCAACTACTCTATCTGACCTTTACTTGATAAGGCAAAACTTGAGAAATCTCATTCAATATGCCCATGCCACTTACAGCAACAGCTGCCCAGAGCAATCGACAGAGTGAAAACCCAAGCCTGCATGGCCTTAGCTGGGCTTTCTGCTACTACACACACCAACCTGACCCAAAGTCCACTGTGGCATAGAGCCCCTGCAGTGCCCCACACTTCAGGAACTTCTGAAAGATGCCGTCGGTAGTGAACAGAAGCACGTCATCCCCCAGGTGTTGGTGGAAGAGCTTCTGCAGGAAACGCAGGTAGTCATAATCACAGGTAAAGTAGCTGCCATATTCATTTTCAACCTGCAAATCAAAAAGAGGAGGGGGAAAAAAAACTAAGGAGATCCCAGCGCAGTCATTCTGACACAAGCTCTTGTCTGGAGAAAATACCTGAGCATCTGCTGAGATGACAAGGCTTACTGATCACCAAAAATATCTCCTACACTCAGTTCTCAAAACTCATTCTCCAAGAAGCAACTCAGCATAAAAACTTACCTTCTACTACACTCCAAGAAATAAGAAAACGACAAAAACCACCATGTTAGTTTTCGAATTGTAGTGATATTCTCCCCCATAAGAGATAATAGATACCTTAAACTTTACATAAATAACACCCATGATAGAAATACTAGACAATGCATAAAAATGAAAAGAAAATGGAAAAAGCATCTGTTAATTCTATAATTCAGAGATAGCCATTGTAAGCATTTTGGCAGTCTTCCAGATTTATATACACACACACACTCTAAATATACCCAATAATATAAGGTAATTGTTTCCTGTCCTCAAAACTGGTATCATATTATATGCACCAGTCATAACATCACTTTTCCTCCTTAATACACTACGCAAAATGTCCACTGCAGTAACAAGGGCAGATGTGGGATACGGATGCACCATCATTTACTTGAGCTCCTACTGTCAAACATTCAGGGTGTTTCTTGTTTTGTACTCAATAACCAATGCTCAGTTTGTGCTAGGTATCATCAGAAGTTTTCAACCAGGAGCTATTTTTACCCCCCAGGAGACATCTGGCAATGTCTAGAGATATTTTGGGTTGTCATAACTGGAGGGAGTGGTGTGCTACTGGCATCTAGTGGGTAGAGGCCAAGCGATGCCGCTAAACATCCTACATCCTACATCAACAGCCTCCACAATACAGAATTATCAGGTGCGAACTGGCAATAGGGCCGAGGTGGGAAGAAACCCTGCTCTGAGGCATGCATTCTCAGTGCGGGTGGAGAGCATCCCCAAGGAGGTGAAATTGATTCTTATAGGATAAAAAAAAAATCTTATTCTTTTTATATATAAAACACAGATATACATACAGGCATACAGTATCTCTCAGGTATTGAAATTTCATGGGGAGGCAATTAGGAAAAAATCTCTAAAGAGGCTTTTTAGGGGGCAACAGTGAAAAAAAGGTTTATTGCTTTATTGCTCTAAAGCAATGAAATGAATGATCTTCAGCTCCTCTCCTAACACCCAAGAAGCTTAGAGACCTAACGCTGAGAGAAAGAAGCAGGACACCGAAAAATAGACAGTATAGAAAATCCAAAAGAGTCAACACCAAACTATGAAGTCCGGGTACACATATAGGTGGTAAAATTTTATTTATACTTTTACCAAGAAACGATGGCCATGAAAGTCAGCACAGTGGGAAGAAGTGGGGTGTGATCAAGAAGGACTCCTGGCAAGCTTCTAGGGTCCTGGCCAAGCGCTATTTTCCATCTTGGGTGGTGATTATGTGGGGGTTCTCACCATAATGCTTCATTATACTGCACGTTTTGTATGTGTGTTATAGTTCACCATTTTACAAAAATTGAAAAAATACCCAACCATAAAATTTCAACCCTCACATAATGCAAAACAAATTTTTGTGGTGCTGGGGATACATGGTCTTTAAACATAAGCACAAGAAACTGTGAGCCCCCAGGAGAGAGGCATCCAGCCTGATGGTGGCTGGGAGAGATGGTTAAGGAGGCTTCTCCGAGGGGCTGCCCGAGGTACTATCCAGCGAAGAGGGCCGAGTGCAGAGTACTTCAGAAACTACCTGAAGCTCCGTGTGGCCTGGGCACACACTGGCGGAGTATGAAAGGAATGGTGAATGATGTGGATGAAATAAATACCACCAGTCTTATCTGCATATCCCTGCCTGCTCAATGGTTTAATGAATGATTGTTTTCTCAGAGAGGATCCCTCTGACAATACTTTCATGCTATGGGTTCAAGAAGCAAAACAGACTGTCGTGAGCATGCCCAGGACCAAGGATTTGTGGTCCAGGAAGCCATCCTGAAAAAGGAGGGATGTGCCACTCCCGCAGAGTGAGTGACTGATCCTGGTACTTTGATCAGCCCCACAGAAGTCCCTTTGGAAATAACTGAGATAAACACTAAGAAAAGCTTTGCAAATACTCGCAAGCTACTTTCCTCCTCCTTTTCTTTTTTCTCCTCATTTAATAAGAGCTATTTGTATGGCTGTGTCTTCCTTCATGGTTTGGCTGTCAAGAAGATCAGAGCTAAACCTAAGAGTCAGCTCTAACGACTAAGTGGCCCCAGAGCCTTTGCACCTCGTGTTGTTTTCTGCCCATCCTCACACCCCAACCCAACCTCATTCATTTTCTCTTACTTTTTCAAGTCTTATTTTTCCATTAACATCACTGTGTGATGTACCTTAAAATAAACAGGCTTGCAACAAATGCACACACATAATTTGGTTAGGTTTTGAGAGAGAGAGAAAAGTTCAACATTTGCAAGGTGGCTTAGAGCTATGGTCACGGGCACAGGCGTCACAGACCCAGGTGTTCACATGCAAATCTCAGCTCTGCCACTTCTTATCCTTAGGACCCCACCTGTAAAATGCTTTCTCATCTGTAAGAGGCAAAAATACCAAGCTTGCTGGGTGTTATGAGGATTGACTGAGTCAACACGTGAACAGGGCTTCGCACAATACCTCGCGCCCAGTAAGTGCTCAGAAAGCCAGCAACCAGGACACTACTCAAAGTCTGTATCATTGCCAACCAGTGAAAAAAAGAGGGGCATGTGTGGGCTGCAGAGGTGAGAGGAGAAACACACCCAGAAAAGGGCTTGAAAGACTCACAGAAAAAGTCACAGTGAGATTCAGAGGAACAGAGACTTTTCTAGAGCAGGGGTCAGCAAACTTTTTCCCTAAAGGGCAAAAGAGTAAATATTTTAGCCTTTTTGGCCATATGTCTTTGTCTCAACTACTCAGTTCTGCTATTGTACTGCAAAAGCCACAGGTAATATGAAAACAAGTGGGCACGGCTGTGTTCCAATGTACCCTTATTTACAAAAACAGACTGGGGGCCAGACTTGGCCCACAGGCCAGTTTGCAGGTGCTTGTTCTAGAGCAACTGTCTCATGCTGCAAGCTCCTTAATGAAGCCACAAAGCACTGCAGACTTTTAAGGCTGTTCATCTTCCACAACAACAGGCATCAACAGGGCGTACACCCCACACGTTGCATGAGGCAAAGCTGTGGGTGGAAGGGCCTCACTCCTAATTATTTTCATCTTGGATATCATTAACAGGTGTTTATGGCTTTACTGATTTTAGGTGTGGTCTTGGTACCAACTGAGATAAACATCCACAAACCAGCTTAGGCGGCACTGGTTTAACTAATCCCCCCCAAGAGAATACTGCCACATCCGGCTGAATCATAAGGATGAACAAAGGTCCAGGCTGGCCTTGCCCAGCTGTAAGACAATAGTGTTGAGAGCCCTAAACACCCTCAGGCCGGGATTTGACCCTTCTGGTCTGAATCATCTTTACCTGCAGACAGATGGGTCCTCTGTGGCCTCTTCAACTCCGCACTCCCAGAGAGAGCGCCAACATTGTGAGCTGAGGAAAGCCAGCATGCTCCTGGCCTGAATTAAGATCGAGATAGAAAGCAGCTTTCAGAGAAACCTTTACACGCTGAAACACTGTCTATCAATGCCAGCTTCTTTCTTATCTAACCTACCGCTCTCTATTCTATTCTAGAACCACTTGTTAGGTATGTGATGGGCACGCATGTGTGATGTGACCGCACGGCTGCCACGCAGACATGTAGGGTGCAGAAGAGACTAGAGGTCAGGGATGAAAGTAGAAAAACCGCCATAAGCGCTTCACAAACAGAGGCACTAACCAAGGGTTCCGAGAGTTAAGCCGACACCAATTAAGTCACTCGGGAAGGCTTCCGGACAGAGGGAGCAGCTGTGAACTGCGCCTCAAATGACAAGAAGGCAACCATGAATTTGGTGAACAAAGAATTTTTAATGATACAAAAAAAATTCTTATGACATAAGAATAACATAAAAAAACTCAGATAGGAAACTGGTCACACAGTATGAACTAAGTCTCTAAAGAGAAATTTTTTAAGGCTTGGAAAAACATTCAAGGAAATCTCCCCAAAACTGAAAGAGCTTTGCTTCTGGCTCCTGTTTAAGTGACAGTTACGGTTTCTCTGCTTTCTTATATTTTTCTGTACTTCCCAGTATTTACTTGTTTATTTAGTAGTCAAGGGACAAAAAGGATTAGGTGGGATTCAAGCAGGTGGAGATGTGATGGGCAAGATGGAGGAGGAGGCCGAGGGCCCGGGCAGGATCCACGGTCAAGTTAAGGTCGTCTAAGGTTGCCAGGGATGGACACAAGAAGAAATGTCCCCCCGACATTCAACTTTGCTCTCCTCTGCAGAGTTCCTATCTGATCACATTCTCTGTGGCATTTCAATCAAAAAGTACCTAAAAGTTATGAGCAAAAATTGGAAGTGAGTTAGGGAGAAGCAGAGACTGAAAAATGAGGGAAACTAAAGAAAACCTAAGACTAAGAGAAAGGAGGAAGATCCAGCTGGGCAAAGACACACTCAAGTTTCAGCCTTGAAATCTTCACACAGGAAAATAGGCTCCCATAAGCTTAACCAGTACAGACTCAAGATGGGTGAAGGGCCATTGAGCGCTACTCGTACAGCCCTCTGGGAGCAGCAGCCTACCCTCTCTCCACTGTGGTGTTGGAATGGACACCCTGGCCAGTCCAGCCTCTCACTGCCTCACCTGACTTATATCCGCAGGGCAAGGGAGTGGCCCTGCTCCCTCCCCACAATGACCTGTCCCTACAAACTGTCTACAGTGCTGTTCCTAAGAAGGAAATCTGGCCCACCACACTGCATCCCCCTGATGTTCCAGGATGCAGCCAATTTGATGTAACTTTATTCTTTTCAATAAGAGCATCTTTGGTAAATGTCCAATGAACATGGTTTTATGTTTTACCTATGTAATTTTACAAACATCAAAAATCACTGCTAGTCAAGTGTCCCAATTTTTCACATGTCGAGTACTTGCCACAAGTCATACCCTACAATACACCAGTCTTTGCAGACAGAAAAACACATGGAAGGAGAATGGGAGTAGGAAGCAGGAGAGAAAACATCCAGCCACAATTCACTGCGCCTCTTTCCAGGCCAGTGTGAACTGACCACCTAAGGAGTGCAGACATCAAAGCAGTTCAGTCCACGCCACAGCCCTGCAGCCAGAAGGCAACGAGGCACGAGAGAAAGAGACGGGCCACAGGACCAGCAGACGTAGGGTGCAATCCTGATTCTGTGACCTGCCAGCCGGGTGACCTTGGCCAAGTCACTTAACCTCTTTGAAGTTCTTCATTTAAAAGAGATTGTGTGGGGGAACAAAAGACCGCGAATTGCTAAAGCAATCCTGAGCAAGAAAAACAAAGCCGGCGGAATCACAATCCCCGATTTCAAAACATACTACAAAGCTACAGTGATCAAAACAGCATGGTACTGGTACAAAAACAGGTCCACAGATCAATGGAACAGAATTGAAAGCCCAGAGATAAAACCACACATCTATGGACAGCTAATCTTCGACAAAGGAGCAGAGGGCCTACAATGGAGAAAAGAAAGTCTCTTCAACAAATGGTGCTGGGAAAACTGGACAGCCACATGCAAAAGATTGAAAATTGACCATTCTTTTTCACCACACACCAAAATAAACTCAAAATGGATCAAAGACCTAAAGATTAGGCCTGAGACAATAAGTCTTTTGGAAGAGAATATAGGCAGTACACTCTTTGACATCAGTTTCAAAAGAATCTTTTCGGACACTGTAACTCCTCAGTTGAGGGAAACAATAGAAAGAATAAACAAATGGGACTTCATCAGACTAAAGAGCTTCTTCAAGGCAAGGGAAAACAGAATTGAAACAAAAAAACAGCTCACTAATTGGGAAAAAATATTTACAAGCCACTTATCCGACAAAGGGTTAATCTCCATAATATACAAAGAACTCACACTGCTTAACAACAAAAAAACAAACAACCCGATCAAAAAATGGGCAGAGGACATGAACGGACATTTCTCAAAAGAAGATATGAATATGGCCAATAGACACATGAAAAGATGTTCATCATCGCTAATCATCAGGGAAATGCAAATCAAAACTACACTAAGATATCACCTTACACCCGTTAGATTGGCAAAAACATCCAAAACCAAGAACGACAAATGTTGGAGAGGTTGTGGAGAAAGAGGAACCCTCATACACTGTTGGTGGGAATGCAAACTGGTACAGCCACTATGGAAAACAGTATGGAGATTTCTCAAAAAGTTAAAAATAGAAATACCCTATGACCCAGCCATCCCATTACTGGGTATCTATCCTAAGAACCTGATAACAGTATCTCAAGAGTCCGTTGCACCCCTATGTTCATCGCAGCATTATTTACAATAGCCAAGACGTGGAACCAACCTACATGCCCAGAAACTGATGACTGGATAAAGAAGATGTGGTATATATACACAATGGAATACTACTCAGCCATAAAAAAAGACGAAATTGGCCCATTCACAACAACGTGGATGGACCTCGAGGGCATTATGTTAAGCGAAATAAGTCAGTCAGAGAAAGACGATCTCTATATGACTCCACTCATAGGTGGAAATTAGTATATTGAGAAGGAGATCTGATCGGTGGTTACCAGGGAAAAGGGGGGGGTGGGGGGAGGGTACGAAGGGGGAAGTGGTGTACCCACAACATGACTAACAAAAATGTACAACTGAACTCTCACAAGGTTGTAATCTATCATAACATTAATAAAAAAAATAAAAAATAAAAAATAAAAAAAATAAAAGAGATTGTGGTTGGAAGAATTGAGTAGCATTTATAGGGCATCCGGCACAGAGTCTGTACACGACAGGCATTCAAAAATGATAATGCCTCCCCAAAATGCAATTTAAATCAAAACATCATCTGTGGCATTGCCTCTCAAAGAAATAGACTTATGAGGCTCATGTCTACATCACTCCTATATATAACGTGGATGGATGGAAACCTTCCCCCACCACCTGCCCAGCCTCATCTCCATGGTTACCTGCACTGTTATAATTGGCCCTCCATTCTGATAGAGTAGGGGCTTCATCTTGGGCAGAAGGACTCCCAACCACTTGTCCACAGCTGCAAGGTAATCTGGAAAACAAGACAGGTTTAACACCATCAGGCACCTTTTAGTACAAACCAGACACAATGCAGCCTTGTCACCCTGGGGCTGGCAGCAGAGACTGGGGTACACTGGATTCAATAACTACCTTCTGAAATGGGGTAGCTACATGCACTAAAAGTCTGATAGAAGTTGTCCTGCAAGGAGTTGTCTCTTCAGCTGAGCTCTCAGTGGACAAGGACCAGTATGCCTGGTATCTGTCCCTGCCACTAGGACACAAACCCTGGAGCATAGGAGGCAGCCAGCCAACGTTTGTCGAATGAAGAAAAGAGTGACTGAATGGTGTGTCCTTCTCTCTGTCACAGTAGAGGTTTTTTAAATTAAAATTAAGTTCTAAATTATATATTTACATTGTCAAATGGGGATTATAGAGTGCATATTTCATAAAGTTGCTGTAAGGATTAAACAATATGCATGAAAACACTAATAATATACTAAGGGTGTAAAATGTGAGGGTTATACCTAAGAAGGAAATGTGTACAGAGTGTAACACAGTAATGTTTTAGATGTTAAACAATCAGTGTTAGTGCTCTTATGACTACCCTCATCACCAAGAAAAACTGGTCTTCAGAAGACAGAAATGCAGCTGGATGGGACCTTCTGACTGACAAGGGTTTACAGCTAGAATAATCTCTATCTAAATAATAAGCTATCATTTACATACCACTCTAAAAGTAGACAAAGAAATAGGAGGCACTGCAGCTACGGAGCAGTCCAGTGACACTATTCCAGAAGTCACTTCTGCCATTTGGATTAGCGAGATGCTATCGCCGGTCACGCAACGCAAAGCATTAAAGTCAGTCAGTCAAACGCAATGTCAAATCAAAGATTTATCAGTTTATCAGCAAGATGTGGGTGAGTAGTTCAAGAAAGTCTATTTCCTACACATTCAATGTCTGGTGTCATGCAGTGGACGATGACTATATTCTGACTTTCAGAAGTGTTTGCATAGAAGAACCCCAGCCTTCAAAATACCCGACCCTTTTGATATAAATTGCCTAAGCTTTCGTAAATCCTTAAGACATCTGTAACAATTTACCTGGATCAGAAGAACGGAGAACAATAGATTGTTTCTCTAATAGCCATGCAGGTAATCCTCCCTAGGATGGGGAAAAGAAAAAAAATGGAAACCATTATAGCGTCCATTTCATGAAACGTGCTCAGGGGAGAGAGAAATTACTGTTGGGAATGAGGGAAAAGGAGAAAAGTTTCATGAGGAGGGTATTTGAGCTAGGCTTCCTAGTTTGTAACTTTCAGGGAAATTAGAAATTGTAACGTAGTAAAAATAAGATCGCTCTGTGTGAATGCGATGTTTTGAGAATCAAAGCCTTTTATGTAGCTTATTCTAAATTCACAACTACTTGGTGAGGTAGAGCCCACAGCATGAACTACTTTTTTACAAAAGAGGAAATGGACTTATGTGAGTGACCACCAAGAGGAGGACCAGCGCCACTGCCCCTCACCTGTTCTTCTCTGCCTAGGCACCTCTTAAGGTAATGGATACCTGTGCTGGCTACGGTCACAGGCCCCGGGTTATCTGCAATTAGATACTTATTTAAACTGCTGTAATGCACTTTCCCCCAGGTCCCTGCCTGCCAGCCCACCCCTGTCACACACACCAGGCAGGCAGAGCCCAGTCTGGCCACACTCACCATATCCCACTCTGCACAGATGTAGGGTCCCGGCCTCAGGATAACCAGCAGGCCCAGTTCGTGAGCCAGCTGAATAAAATATTCCACATCATGATCCTCAGAAAACTGGTACTGTCCTGGCTGGGGCTCATGAAAGTTCCAGGGCACGTACCTGCAAAGACACACAGAGTCCCTTCCTGGAAACAGCTCAACAGTCCAGATGTCCTACAGGAATTTCGGAACTGTGTGCACAACTGTAAACCCACAGGACGCACAGACCTTTCCCTTTGGCAGCCTCTCGGGAAAGAGGCTTCGTTTGGAGTTTTCACAGGAGCTACCCAAGCACAACAAACGTGGAGGGGACACTTTTATGACCCACAAAGAATGCCCATTCCTATTTAACACGTGACTTTAAAAAAGATACAGATTTACATGAACATGAATCACTATACGATGTATAAATTATATATGGCTGTGTAAGGCTTAGGAAAAACGAAAAGACCTATTCCACAGTAAAAAGAGGGAAACATTTTTGGAAAAACACTTTTTAATAAAAATGGAAAAATCTCAAACCCCTATGTCCTCCTGACAAAAGTTTTGTCATGAATAACACTCAGGAGGTAAAATGACAAAAGCTCCTACCAGCGCCCCTGGCTGCCTACAGCATGGGACACAAATTTAAATATGAAGCCACCCCCAGGAGCACAGAGGTCTCCCTGATGACCTCTGGCTGGTGTCGTTTTTCCACGATCCCATGGGTTCAGGGTTCTCTGGAACAGATATCCTGGGTCCCCCAGAACCTCCTGTTGAAACTACAGACAGGTCTCAGGGGCCTTAGAACCAGAAAAACAAGTGGGATTCTCCCTATCTTCCCAGGAATCTGCCTCTGGGTTTTCTCACCCTTTATCTTTGACAAGTCATCAGCAAGCCACAGCAGCACTGCAAAAACCAGAGTTGCCAGCCACCCCAACTTTCTTCCCAATTAGTCACTTTGCAACAGTAGAAGAGAAGAGATGAAGAGAGATAGTTATTGGGGTAATTTTTTAACTCCAGGCTGTAGAATTACCCCAGCAGAACCATGCAGACAAACTGGGTTTCAGAAATCGACCTAACGAGGCCTATTCCCCTAAGAGCTGAGAGAAGCTATGGCTGCCTACAAACACCCTTATCTTCCAATCCTAGCTGGACCTCTGGCCAAAACTATGTGCTTGGGCAAATTTCAGTTTCACCAGCTGTAAATGGGAATGGTAATAGGTACCTTGGAGAAATGGAATCATTCTTGTAAAGTGCCCTCTGCACACAGTAAACGCTCAATCACTGTGACTTCCCTTTGCCTTTTTAAGCTGATATTCATTTTATGATTCCCGATGACAAAGTTCAAGATTGGTTATCAGAAGAAGGGCAAGGCCAGCTCATGACAAGCCCCTCCCAGAATGCCAGACTACGCTCTTTCCCATTCTGAGCAATGAAACAGCCGCACTGAGAAATGCAGCTGTACTCTCTTTCCAGGGGTGAGTGGCCAGGCCCAGGTGAGAGCCAGGTGCCCTCCCACTTACGTCTGGATGGCATTTAGCCCAGCCATTTTCATCTTCAGCAGCCGGTCCTTCCAGTAGAAGCGGGGTATGCGGAAGTAGTGGATGCTTCCTGAGATGTATCGGAACGGCTGGCCATCCTTGAGGAAGCGGTTGTGGCTATAGTCGATCTTGAACGTCCTCTGGGAGGCATTCTACAGAGCAAGGATGGACCACATGAGAACTTCCACCCTTGCATTTCAGAAGCAGAAACTTTGACAGTGGCAAGTGTTTCCCCATCTATTTCACTTGCCTAATCTGCCGATGGAGTTAATGCTTGGTTTCTGGGCTATAGAACAAACCACTGGTCCACCGGCTGCACTCGGGTAAGAAAAATCATCAAGGAGGACCCACCTGCAGGAATCCACAAGGCCCACCTTCTAGAGGCCAGCACCAATCTGACAATCAGTAGCTGAGATACAGAAATTATATTCCCCAAGGGAAAACCCTGCTGGAAGCAACTGTAGCAAAGCCCAGTGTGCTAGGAATAGAAAACACACACACACACACCCTTCCTGTGGCTGTGACCTGCCTTGGCACTGACTGTACCTCAACAGTAATGTCACTGGGACAACCAAGATCCATTAAAAAGAAAGAAAGAAAGAAAGAAAATTCTAAGTGTAACATACAGGGCTGAAAGCAACAGATTAGAAGTCTAAAGCCCTGAAGCCTCATCCTAGGTACTGCTCTAAGTTTCACAGTGACCTGGGCAAGTCCCTTCTCTAACCCTGCATCTCTTCATAAATATGCAGGATGTTGGACTAAAAGAACTCTAAAGCAATATTTCTCAAATTGTGGGCTCCTACCCAGTGTGTGAGTCATGTACTCAATTTGAGTGATAATCAACTTTTTTTTTTTTTTTTTTTGGTGAGGAAGATTGGCCCTGAGCTAACACCTGTTGCCAATCTTCCTCTTTTTGCTTGAGGAAGATTGTCCCTGCAATAACATCTATGTCAATCTTCCTCTCCTTTGTATATGGGATGCTGCCACAGCATGGCTTGATGAGTGGTGTGTAGATCTGTGCCCAGATCCAAACCTGTGAACCTCAGGCCAACGAAGTGGAGCGCACAAACTTAACCACTATACCACCAGGCCAGCCCCAGCAACTTTTTTTAACGAAAGAGAACAGAAAATATCAGAGTGCATTGCACAAAGCAAAGACAAGTATTATTTTATGAAACTTTTGTTGCATATATAGAGTTGCATATATATGTCTCTATGGAGTTGCAATGTAAGATGTATTTCTAGTAGTCATAGCAAATTTTGAGAAACGCTGTTTTGGGGTCACATCAGGAGCTAAAATGCTAGGATTTGAAAGGGATGGCCTCAAAGGGGAGGCCAATTCATAGGCAAAACAGAACACTGCCCTCTGGTGGATGGAAAAAGGCAGCAACAGGCCACAGGTGCCAACAGGACCAGGGTTACAAGAAACCATTTAATTAGTGTCCTCCATTGTTAGTAAGATTCCTTGTGCCTCTTTACACTTTTTTCTTAAAGCTTTGTTCATAGGAGCATCACAATCCATGAAAACTTTGGGGGTTGCCCTTGAAATCATATCTGGAAACAACTGTGAGAGCATGAGTCCTAGATCACACTTGGCCTGAAATCCAACTAGGGAGTTGAAACACTGTGACTGAAAGTTAACCAACTGAGAGTGGATTGCTCATGGGCAAACGGAAAGCTTTATTGTATGTGAGTTACACCTCAAAAAAGCTAACCAAAAATAAACAAATAAATAAGAATCATTAAAAAAAGGTGAGCGTCAATTTAGTATCACTTTACTCTTCTGGTAAAAAAAGGCTTTAATTGCCATTAAAAGGCAAGAAACTCCTAAAGAAACTCACAAAAATAGCAAAATTATTTCTTACACCAGGTGCCCCAGTGGATGATTTTGAAAACATTTTCACAGCTTGTATATGACTGAGTGTCAAATAAGAGCTTCCCACAAGTTTGGTGAGTTCAGAGGTGGCCGATGAGTTGGGCAAATTCTTTGGGCAGGTAGAAAGGTAGTAAGCAACTTTGGGCAGAACTGGGGAAGGAAACAGCTGTCTGAAGTCCCCTGGTCTAGGGGAAGGGATTTGGAGGAGCAGGAGATCAGGTTGGCGAGAAATGACCTTGGTGGACAATGGAACCTGGCCTTCATCCCACACAGCAGAGCACCATCCCTGCACTCAAACAATCTCCAAGTCCAGCCCAAAGACCTCCCTACCATCCATTTACAAATATCACCAAGCACCTACTACGTGCTGAGTAATCCCTGAGGGGAACCACACAGATGCAGCCCCAGCCCACGTGAAGCTTCCATCTAGCATGGAACAAGCCAAGAGTCAGCACAGTGAGGCCTGGATGGTAAAGTAAGTGTCAGATCACCACGTTGTACACCTTAAACTTGCACAGTGTTATCTGTCAGTGAAATCTCAATAAAGCTGGAGGAAAAAGGATTAAAGTGCAGCACGGCAGCAGCAATAAACAGCAGGTAACTCAGGCGTAGGGCGAAAGGACAAGTTTCACCCCAAACCGTGATTCTCAATCTTGGCCACACATCAGAGCCACCTGCGCAAGCTTCTAAAAATAGCAAAGTCAGGCCTCACTGCCCAGACATTTAGATTACAGTTGGTCTTGGGTGGAACCCAGGCATTGGTATTTCTCAAAACTGCCTGGATGATGGAAGGTACAGCCAGGGTGGAGAACCATTGGCCTAAGGGAAGCCCTAGGATGAGGAAGAATTAGCCAAGGGGAAAGGTGACATAGCAGAGGAAACTGTGTACGAGAACCGGTGGAGAAAGGTCAGGACATGGGGAAGGGGCCGGAGACTCCAATATAGATAAAGCGTGACAGCTGCTGAAACAGAGGAGACAGGCAGGGCCAGATCAAATGCGCCCGGAAGTCCACACTTAAGGGCCTGGACCTCATGCCAAGAGCGGCTTCAACAGAAGAATGATAGGATCAGACACGTGTTTTCAAACGTTTGCCACTCTGGCTTTTTCCTGAACCGGCAACACAGGAAGCAGAGTCATGGACCACAGCGGTGGCAGTGAGGTGCGCAGCAGACAGGAGGCAGAATCCAGAGGGCCAAGCGGCTGATGAGATGTAGGACACAGGGGCTAAACAGAAGAGGCTCCCGACGGCCTCAGATGGAAAAATTTGAGCATTTAAAAAAAGTAAGAGAGAGACAAGAGATATCAACCAGGAGGAAAAAAAAGACTGCATGGATTTTAACAACTATGAGTTCACAAAGATCCACAGAGGGGAAAAAATTCACTGGTCACCTTTGGAGATTGCTTGAGTACCGATGTATTACTTGGAAAAATGATAAAAGGGAAAGAACCAAGCAGTTTACTTCTCTTTCACATAAAAACTGTATTTCAGGGTATCCTGACAAAGGAAAGTTCCTCACAGTATTCCAGCTAATAAATGCAGATGGAATAACAGAATCTGGAAAACACCCTTTTCTAACGCTTAGGGAAATAACGGATTTAAGCTATAATCATTAAAGGCCGCTGAAACAGTCAGCAAGTGGTGGAACTTTACAAAGAAGGGATCAGGCAGATTCTCTGTGCGCCCCCTGCTCGATCTCAGCCTCAGTCACAATGGAGCAAGCAGACGTGTCTCATGCTGGGATTCAACAGGAAGGACACAGCCCCATTCCTGAACTTCAGCCTCTGCTGGACCTGAATCAAAGATTCCACGGGAGGCAATAAGTCAATCTCAAACAAAAGAGTCTAACGATAGGCTTGCTCTGACAATTTGGTGGTATTAAAATAAAATAAAACAGGGGCTGGCCCCGTGGCCGAGTGGTTAAGTTTGCGCGCTCAGCTGCAGGCGGCCCAGTGTTTCGTCAGTTTGAATCCTGGGTGCGGACATGGCACTGCTCATCAAACCACGCTGAGGCAGCGTCCCACATGCCACAACTAGAAGGACCCACAACAAAGAATATACAACTATGTACTGGGGGGCTTTGGGGAGAAAAAGGAAAAAAATTTTTTAAAAATCTTTAAAATAAAATAAAACAAAATAGAGTATTGTCAAAAAATAAAAGAGACCTTAAGAGGTGTGACGACCTAATGCAGTGTGGGAACCTCGTTTGGATCCTGATTCTAACAAACTGAAGAAAAAAACAATGTTAAGGTAGGAAAAATCTGAACACAGATCGGGCATTAGATAGAATTCAAAGAATTACCTTGATTCTTTTGGGTACAATAATGGCATGGTGATTATACAAAAGGAAAAAAAGGTTTTATCAGATAGAGGTGCACACAGAAGTATTTTGAGGTGGTGACTACAGACCAAAAAGAAAAAGAACCAAAAAAGTAGAGGGTAGATAGAGCAAAATTGGCCATTGTTGAAGCTGGGTAAAGGACACATGGGTATTCTCTGCCAGTATTTTAAACATTTTTTATAATAAAAAGCTTTCAAACCTGCATTTACCCTTTTCACAGAATTCTCTCTATGGATGTACTTACAAATGTGTGTGTGTTTTTTTTTTAACTGCAACACTGTTTAAACCAAATTGCAGGGCCAGCCCCATGGCCGAGTGGCTAAGTTCACGTGCTCTGCTTCTGTGGCCCAGGGTCTTGCCGGTTTGGTTCCTGGGCGCGGACATGGCACCATTCGTTGAGCCATGCTGGGGTGGCGTCCCACATAGCACAACCAGAGGCACTCACAACTAGAATATACAACTATGTACTGGGGGGGCTTTGGGAAGAAGAAGAAAAATAATAATAATAATAATAAACCAAATTGCCCTTCAAAATAGTGGGTTTTCTTGGTTATGAGAGAAAGAAAAACATACATTCATGCAAAGACTTGTGAAAAATGTTCATAGAAGCTTTATTAATAATAGTCCAAAATTGAAAACAACCAAATGTCTATCAACAGGAGAATGGATAAACAAATGGTGGTATATTCATGAGATGGAATACTACTCAGCAATAAAAAAAGAACTACTGATACTTGCAATAATATGGATAAATCTCAAAAATGTTATGCTGAGTGAAAGAAGCTTTACACAAAAGGATTTAGACCATATGAACCCATTTATGTGAAGTTCTAGAATAAGCAAATCTATTACGGAAAAAAAAATCAAAATAGTTGTTGCTTTTGGGAGAGTGCGGGCAGGTATTGCTTGGGAAGGAACATGAGGGAACTTTCCAGG